ACCACCCGATCCCGTTAGTCGCCTCTTACGACAAGCATGGGTTACTGAAGATCAATATTCTAACCCGGACCATCACGGGTCGGTAGTTGCTTGGCATAGCATATCTTTTCATACATTGATCACTCAGTAGCTATATTTTAAACGCAAAATCCACCTTCCTGAGCCTGTCCTGAAGCTGAGCTGATCAGCTTTCTGTACAACATTTACTATACTTCATAGCTGACAGGGAGATTTAGTTTGAAGGCCCAGAGTTTTCATAAATGGACAAATTATAAATTGGGCATATATCTTATAGATTTCGTGGGTTGGTTTCTGTACGAACATCGCCCGGGAGGTTTGTTCAACAGACATTGTGGCAGAATGGTTACGGTTTTGATGGATTATAATCCTAGAAACAAACAAACAAGCATCTGGCAGAAGTCACAGCAAATTTCTCAGGAAAATCATGAGATACGTTTGTATAGTGGACAGAAAATAACACTATGGAAATGTGCACTAATGCTTATTTTTACTTTAAACAAAGCTGCAAGTGGTAATATTGAATACTGCTGGTAGGACACCTCAAGGAAAACAAACATGAAAGTGGTGATACTGAATACTACTGGTAGGACAACTTCTCAGGAAAAGAAAGCTGAAGTTGAAATATTGAATACTACTGGTAGGACAACTTCTCAAGGAAGTCAGTCATGTTCGCTCAGTACCTTGAATGAAAGAATATTAAAGCAGAAGAATATGTAACGAGAGGTTTTGATCACAGTAACGTTTTTTGCCCATAGCATGATAGAATATTCCAATCTTAAGTTGAGGAGAATATATTCAAGAGTTTAGGTCACAAGTAAGATAGTTCTAGTGAGTTAGTTTAGTTTTACGCCGCACTCAGCAATATTCCATCTACATGGCAGCGGTCTGTAAATAATCGAGTCTGGACCAGACAATCCAGTCATCAACAGCATGAACATCGATCTACGCAATTGGGAACTGATGACATGTGTCAACCCAGGTGCCTGACCACCCGATCCCGTTAGTCGCCTCTTACGACAAGCATGGGTTACTGAAGATCAATTTTAACCCGGGCCTTCACGGGTCGGTAATAGTTCTATGGATTTACAACTTTTTATTATAACATATGCCACATTTCGCTGTAGATGCTGTTTTCAAGCAAGTGATGTACTGTAGTGTTCGTAAAGCATCAATTTGACTAACTAGTCTTATCTCAATTTTAATGCTTCCATGTCTTTCCTTTTAATACAAATGAAACATGAAATGTAATAACAAGCTGATGGAGACATGCTTTAATGTCCTTGCATAATTCTGTCACCTGGTTCTTTCTACTGGGAAAAAAAGTATAATTTGAGGAGATTTGGGGGGGGATTGAGGACTGAACACAATACTCCATTAAAATATTGCTAACGATCCCCAAAGATAGCGATTATTATGTATCGCAAAAACATATATCAATCGTAACGTTCACAGCTGTGTATCTTCAACTTTGACATGTTTTATACCATGATTGTCACTGAATATCTTCTATCCTGGGCAAGGTATTTCAGCTAACACTTACTCAGTTTGCTGAACATGCTCAAGCGCCAAAAAGAAGAAAAAAAGAACCATCAATTGTTTTGTTTCCATTATACAGTTCGCCCTCACAGTACAAATATCTGCATATTCATTCTTTGTATAGTGTGCAACTGCAGCTTTTATGGTCTGTAGGGGCTGGCTGCCATTGTCAGATCTGTATGCCTCAACACAGGTCTAATATTGTGTCGACATGTCCATGAACTTCAAACTGGTTAAACAAGTTTACTCAAACAACATGTGTAAAGTTTATTATATACATTCTTTGTGAAAAAGAAACGCATGCAGTTCTTTTAAATGTTCAAACAAGTATATATGTCGATGTGTTTTTAGCATGCCAGCACCTACATGTGACAATGGCTGCAGGCATTCGAGTGCTCACTGATGTTTAAATTACGTCTAGCAATATGTACATTAAACACACTTTTATATGTTTATGTAATTCAAAATCCTTTCAGAATAGCATACTTTCTGTAACGCATTCAGAACTAGCTAGCTGAATGAAAACTAAATATATATCCGAACACATCAGGCAATACTGAATTAAACTCAAAAGAAGTTAACGACGGCACGATTTCCATCATTCCATAGCCTATGACTATAGTTAAATTGCCGTTGGTTGGTTGTTTAAAGCCACACTCAGCGATATAACAGCTGTATGGTAGGGGTCTGTATACAATGAAATCTGAACCAGATGATCCAGTGATCAACAGCATGAGCATCGATCTACGTAATTGGGATACAATGACATGTGTCAACCAAGTCAGCGAGCCTGACCACCTCATCTCCTTAGTCACCTCTTACGACAAGCATGGGTTGCTGAAGACCAGTTCTAACCCGGATCTTCACCACCATTTATCTCATTAAGTAAACATGTATAGACTTTCTTTGTGTATGAACTTAATGAGATGATGTAATCAAGATGTTTGGTAGTTAGATGAGTTGGGATGACAATCTAACAAATATAATATATTGGCCTTTTATTTTTCTCGCAGGAAACACCGTAAAAAGATCTGGACATTTTCATAAATCATTTTGAGATGTACAGCCAAAATACAGTCCATTAACATTTTTCGTATGACACAACCTAACACACATAATCACAACATTTCTGCTAAATGTACAAGGAAAACGAGAAGTGACCTAAGGGATTCTCCTCTTGATAAGACCCACAAGAATGGCTATGGTGCATACAAACCTAGAAATCTGGGTAAACTGGGATTTGAACCCATAATAATAGGTGACTGTCTTAACCTTCTGGTGTCCCCCGCCGTGATATTGCTGGAATATTGCTAAAAGCGGCGTAAAACCAAAACTCAGTCAGTCAGTCTTAACCTGATTCTATCTTCGTTGGAATGTTGTAAACAGTTTTCAATATAGTTATCAATGTTTTGAAAAGAGTTTTCAATATCGATACCACTGTATCGAAAGGTGTTTTCAAAATAGTTATCACTGTGTTGAAAGGAATCATATTAGATGTGACAACGAGTCTGTACAAGATATTTCTGAAACTTCCAAGGAATGGGAAAATAAGCTTCTTATGCATTCAATATAACACGATTCAGTTGAGCCAACATTTCATATTGACCGCAACTTGCACGTCTATACTCTTCAGTTGCAAGTCTGAGATGAAAACATTCTGGCTTGAGGTTATTTTCAGTTCTCGTTATCTTCCAGAGTAAAAATTGCCCTCGTGGATAACTCACTGAACTGTACTGACGACCCTTGGAAAGAATGCAGCGCTTCTTACAACAGGCACTGCTTATAAGCCAGGTTAAATCCTGATCACGAAACGCTTTTGTCTTTGATGGCTTCAAAAAGTGACATCACACAATATTATGCGAAAAGTTGTTTCTTTTGGGTTGCAGCCAAAAGCATGTCAAGCAGCATGTGCAACAAGGTATCTGATAAATATATCTTTCTTTCATGTCATCGATCATTAAGGAACTCACTTGCAGATAAAACCATGGCTTGGACTTGGAGTATTTAAGGGTCTCAATAGTCCAAGACCAAAATGTGTAGACAGGGTACAAAGACTTAAAACCAAAGTCATGCATTAGCAAGAACTGGCAAACATGACGTAAGGAAATGCATCCATTTGAACATCCCTGCGAGAAACAGTTCAACTATGCTACCGCCATTCCTTGTCTCACTTCCAAACATTAAAGCCAACAATGTCGCCTGTTCGGTACGAGCGTTTAAAGCCAAGGTATGTGTCCACCTCCCAGGAATTCCTACCCTCCATTATCTCAACATTTGTCTGCTCTGCTGAGTATTAAAACATTTCCCTGCATTGACTGGTTAAATGAACAGCTTCTCTAGTGTGGGACGGTGGGCTGTATTTATAGGTTCCTTCCTGGAAGCCATGACAATTTTCAGCCTGATTCAAATTATGTAACACTCTCTGTGCTTGTTGTTGAATTTCGCACTTTCCCTATGTTGGATTGAACTTCAACTTAATTGCTAATCCGGACGGACATAGCCAAATTTCCTGTTTCTGTCTGAAATGGATTTTCAAGGGCTGTTTTGTTTTCAGTATTGTCTGTCTATGTCAAGTGTGATTGGTTGATATTTGACTTTAGGTGAGAAAAATACTGAATGGTTTTAATGTGCACCTCAGTAACAGACTCCCAACATTCTGTGGCAATATGTGAAATGCTTGAAATTGATGCATTAATAGGCATCTAATTATGTGGCATTACTAAACGATGTGATAAAATATTTTGGAATATTTGGAATAAACCAATTAAAACCGACTTCCTAATCATCAGCCATATATAATGAGAGCATTATTTTCTTGCTCTGATATTAAAACTTTAATATGGAGAATATATACAAACATGTACAAGTAGGCAGTTAGTCTATTTCCCAATAGTTCTGTTCTGCAGGCATAGGTACATATCATCAACTTGTTTAAAACTAAACTGGGCATATACCTCCCACTGGCTCATTCAATATATTTCTTTCAGTTATTTTATTTTCTTAAATTTTAATTGAAAATGCATCAGATTTTATTTTTTATAGATTCCTTGATGTTAGTAAAATATTCATTCACATACATCCCATCTGAATATTTCAGTGATAAAAAAAAATTAAATTGTTAGTTTTCTTCATCTTCAGGTATACAGTAACCATTTTATTGAGGTCATGACACTACCCAGTTGTCATTTCGTAGTTGTCATGACAGTACCACTCGATGTCATTTATCACTGTATTGTCATGAACAGTAGAACTCGATGTCAATCACCTCTATGTAGTTGTCGTGACAGTACCACTTGATGTCAATCACCAGTATGTAGTTGTCATGACAGTAGAACTTGCTGTCAATCACCTCTATGTAGTTGTCATGACAGTAGTATTTGCAGAATTGTACAAGTATTGACAGAAACAGGAAGGACATGATATAAATGTGCGTGATGACTTACCTCCTCTGATATTGACGATGTGCGGATGCTTGAGACTGGACAGGATGCCGATCTCACGACGGATACGGTTGAGGTCCGTCTCGTCATGGATCTTCGTCTTCTTGATGTACTTGATAGCAACCTGCAACATCAACATACATAATTAGAATTGATGAATGAGGAAATACTACCTGTATATAACATGGAGTGAGTGAGTGAGTGAGTGAGTGAGTGAGTGAGTGAGTGAGTGAGTGAGTGAGTGAGTGAGTGGAGTGTTTTCACAATTTTCCAGTAATAGTCCAGTGATTCTCTGATGGAATATATCAAGCTCTTAAATTAACATCTAACCAAGAAAAAAATGTTAATTTTGAGTTTTGGTGTGTACCAAATTTGGGCACATTATGAAATTATGATTGTCTAAAATCAATGACAATTTTGGAAAAACAAGAAGCTTCAAGCACACATAAAATAAACACAATGTCATACCCATGACACTCAATCTAAAACTCGGTTAAACACACTCAGAATTATACTGACAGTTCAGATTCACAGACATGTGACAAGAATTATTCCCAATTTCAATATTTCCAAATTTATCTTTAAAATTATCACATTAATAGCAAGTGCCCTTGGCAAATTTCACAGCTCAAAATTGAAGATTCTTCCCAAAACAGATTTTGTGATAAACATTTGAGAATCTGCACAAGGTGCAAATATTCAAACTGATGACGCAGGTCAGTGCGAAACCTTTGTTCACAGATATCATGTGCACAGGTTGTCGGAAACTACTCTTGCACAAGAACAAACATGGCCACTTCATCGAGAATACCAGGGAACTAGACTGACACAATACAAACACAGACCTAGTTGCGTCTTCCTGTCATTTACGGAAACTTAAAAAAAAACACAATCAAAATTCTGAGGCAAAGTGCTACACATGTTGAGGCGTGTTTTTTCCCCATTCCATATTTAGCTTCGTCTTCCTGAATGCTCTGTAGAAGCGAGCAGTGTCGTCATTTCAGTTTGCATTTCCGTAAAAGACGGTGCTTATGAATGTCCCTTGTTGCGAGCCTGGCTGATGAGGTATTTGAAATATTGGCATTCTAAATAGGAGATGAACTCCACTTGGGGAGTTAAGCACATGGATGTGTTTTACGAGCTGCCAGTATACAGCAGCAATCAGAAATATGTCTTGTATCTCCTTCTAGCAAATGAATTTCTATTTCACACAGTTTGATTAAATACCATGGCACTGCGATGCCAGGAAGTTACGGTTCTCCATAACATCTCTTGGTGTCTTTGACAAGTACAGAAAAAAAGGTTGAGAAGTTGTTCTTTTACGTAAATAGATGCTAAAAAATCGCTGATAAAGCAGTGTGACTATTTTTCAGGTCTTATTAGGCTCAAGATACTTTTCGGATGCATTGTGCATTCATTCACAATGTCATTCACATTAGGTATTCACAGTATATATTTACTTCTTGGGTCATTTGAGAATCTATTTGAGTCTATGGAGAATTTAGAAATCAAGTATGACTAGCTTTTAGAATAATTTAATCAATGTTTTAGTAATATATGTTTATTCTGGGTACAAATATTCAGGTATACCTCATTCAAAGTAAAAAATACATTTATGAAATACAATTTTGATTGTAACATTCTGTGACGATCTGAGTGTTCTGAGCCCCATGCTGCTTGTTGTACAACACCACTATTTAAAGGGTCCTTCTGTTCCTACGTGAGGGTCGTGGACCCTAACACCCGAGCGTGGACTTGGTTGATACGTCATATTATCACACCTGCCTAGATCGATGCTCATGCTGTCAATCACTGGGTCGTCTGGTTCAGACTGGATTATTTACAGACCACAATTATATAGCTCAAATATTTTGTCATGTGACCAGAGCTCCAGATACGATTTAGCTCACGTGGGTACTGTACCCACTGTATTTTTTTGGAGTGGGTATTTATGTTGAGTGGGTATTCCATTTTCCGTTACCCACTGCTTTCAAGTATGTGCATATTTCAGTCATTTTACTCACCTAAGTATTATGTGACTGATTAAGTTTACTTAGCAGGTATGTTCTGCCTTATGTCATACCTAATCAAAACCAACTTAAATATAATGGAAATGATTTCATAAAAAATCACTCATCCTATACTGACAGTACAACACTAGTCCTATACTAACAGTACAACTTGATAGCAATCGATGTCTCTTTCATTACGCAAGCGATTTTTATAAATACATTCCGTACGCATTTGTTTTAAATTTTTTGCGTATCTAACATTTTAAATGCGTAATTGGTACGCAACAATTATTTTTCAATGCGTAATTGGAAATTTTCTAGGCGTATTTTACCCGGATACGCAGCTTATCTGGGCCTCTGTGTGACTCTGAACAAACAGCAAACCAAACGCATATTGTCAAAGTGGTAAAAAGCTTACATCAATCTTTTTCAAAGTGATATCATGAACCCTTATATGACACTGAAATAAGGAATTTGTAGACAGGATCATTTAACTGTCATTAACCTAGTTCTAATGACTATCAAGTTTTTATACTCCAACTCCTGGGATCAGTTGTGAAAGATTTATGTGATGACATGGATGCTATAGGAACATCCTATAAAACCACCCTTCATACAATAGAAGGTGTTGCTTGTCAATGCCGGCAAAAATCTGATGACACTTTGACCGAGACACATCACTGAAAACAGACATTTGTATCTTTATCACTGTAGCAAGTACATGTGTACCAGGTTGTTGATTTCATGTCTAAGTGGTGATGTCATATATAGGTATGGTATTAATCACAAGGTCCCTATCGCTGAGAACCAGGTATACTTGCAATTGACGACAGTGTATTTCACCTGTCGTCAACACAGATCTTTGAATAGCGAAGGTCTCTTTATTTGCTTTGAATGACAAGATCAATTTTCTTGAGTTGGGACTAATTCGTATTTAATTTGGTAGCATGACCTATAACTTTAATAAAAAATTCCTGTGAAATCTTACAATGTTATTCAATAAGATGAAAAATCTTGTAACACAAAAACACAACAGACAAAAGTGTGTGTGGTAAAGATAGTATATAGTCCTACCATGTAACCAAAGATTAGATATACTATTCCTAGTTCTCAGGCTCTCACACTTAATAGGGAAGAATTATATTAAACATTTTAAGGAAGATATTTAAATTAATTCTGATAAGAAGTCAGCTTACAATAGAGGAAACCTGCTGGTCAACTTCTAATACAAATATTCTGAGTCCCAAGGTTGGGGATAAATATGATTGGTTGCTGGAAGATGTTGTCACACAAATAGTACTTGATACTGTCAAGGAACTGACATAATTTCAGCCATTCCCATGATGCAACACCTAGTGGTTCTGTTACACTTCAGAAGATATCCAACTCCCTGTCTCGATTTGACCAGCATAAAAAGTACATAAATGAAAAAAAAAGAGAAAATGAAGATTTTAACACTGTATTTCCTCCAATGTTATAGAAATTTATGTGAAATATTTTACAACAGATTTCTCTGACAACTATGAGGTCAAGCTGTTAACACATCCAAATGCAATCTTCCAGGAAACATCAACCTTGGGTTTATTGCTGTGGGGTGTGATGGTGTATCCAAGGCTGGGGAATGTGAGATGCTTTCTCCATGTATATTCTCAGTTTATTTCACAGTTTATTACCTTTTCCTGAATGTATACACCTAGGGACCAATCAAAATCCATGTTTCAAAATATCTGACCAATCAGAGGAGGGTGGTGTAAACAACACACAAAGCCTGATGACAACACACTGTGGCACATGAAACCATATACCACAGACTGACTTTACTGTGCATCATACAGCAACAGAAAAAGATAAAAGCATTCTTACCAGGTTAATTTGAAATTAAGTGTAATCAGAACCACAAACTTAGTTTTATTAGGTCTATCTGAAGGTCTTCTAAATATGTGAGCCTATTACACTATACAGACATAAAGTGAACACAAAATGAGTGAGTGAGTTTAGTTTTACCCCACTTTTAGCAATACTCCAGCAAATATCACAATGGGGGGACACCAGAAATGGGTTTCATACATTTCAACCATGTGGGGAATTGTACCCAGGTCTTCGGTGTGATGAGCAAAAGATTTAACCACAATAGACTTGCATGGGATTTGGGTATCATTGTACAACTGGTATTAATGTATCAAAGTATTCAGTGGCATCATTGTATGAGCTGGTATCTATGTATCAGAGCATCCAATTGGTATTATTGTATCAGCTGGTATTTATCAGAGTATCAGCTGCTACAAGTCACTGTACCTGAATCAGAGTGACCCCTCAGTAACTGCAACCCCTTCCCCATTAGCCCGGTCCTTTAAGATCAAATGAAGCACATAAAACCAACATGCTGACTAAACACCCAGGACGTATCAAACGTATGTCAATCTGGCTTGAAAGACATACCAACTTGTGGCATATATAGCCATAATAGGCCATTAAAGTCGCCACTTGACAAATGTTTGTGAAGGAGAACTGGTCATTTGTTCGGCCACAAAGAAGTTACTCTCCCTTAAAGCTAACACAGACAGAGGGTGTTGGAGGGGGGACGTATTGTCCGTGGGAGGGATGTTTACCTCGGGGCAATAAACAAATAAACAAACACGACTGACAGCTCGTTGATGAAATTAACAAGTTTAGTGTCAATGTAATATTGAAACGATACTTTCTCGTTTATTCCTAATTACAAAATGGTTTCAGGCGATTTCATTGGTTTTCTTTAAAGTGAATATTTTCCATGAGTTGAAGTATTCCTGAAAGTTTGAAATCATTTTTACAGAACTACAATGTTGACCAGTCTTGAGCTGAGCATCAAGCTGTTATAGTACCTGTACTTACAACAACTACCTGTGTGAAAGAGAATGTTTAACCCTGTTCTGAAACCAGGACGTTTATGGAACAATTTTCTTGTTTAAATGAATGTACATGTACATATAGACTTTGATATCACCTGCATAGATTTTGTATAAACAACTCTAAAGATTGTTAGCTTAATCAGAACACCTTGAAATAGAGAGGGTCTACAAAATGGAAACTTGATGAAATCTTCCTGCAAAAGCCGTGTAATGCATTGGTTTAA